ATATTCATTGTTATCATAAATTAAGATTCCACACTCAAACATTTCTGTTGACATTCATCAATGACCAGTACAATCACAACCTGATCATCACAGTAGTCAATGGCACAGGTATATGGCTTGCATAAGTGTACCCGATCTTATTGACCGTGATAAACCGCAATGCTCACCCGAATTGTTCGAAGATAAAACTGCAGGCATGGTCAGTATTGGGATTTTGTTGCGATCAGATGCAGCCTTTCGACAATAGATCCTGACGTACATGTTCGTTTCTTGTACACACCTTTGGTTGAATTAAAGTCCCTACCTTAAGATTTATTTCTCACATTGGTATTTTGCAATTAGGAAGTCCCCCTATTTTTGAGGGACATTTTAAGTTAAGGACACGTCCGTCATGAAAACGTGCACCTTGACAAAAAATAGTCAAATATGTACATGCTCATGATCTTCCGTATTTCGCATTCCATGCGGTTCTTTAAATCCTCGAAGACCTGTGAGGCTCATTGACTGGTTGCTACAACCAATCGGTCAGGAAAATGCACCCGAAAATGCTGAGGACTCGAATTACTCATCAAAAGACTCTACCAATGGGTTATTGCCTTCGGCTAGACTTGGTTCTTCTGAGTTCGACAAACTGTACCATTCTGCGGGCGCTTCCTGGGCGGTCATTCCAACACCCACACATCCTATGATGATCAGACCAGCATTTTAGCGGACGATGTGTATACGCTGTCGCACCACTAGACGAAGACTGAAACGACGAAACTGTCGCCGCCGCCCCCAATGCGCAGAACTGTTGCAACGGCCCACGGAAATATCCAAGTGCAAACTCGCTCGTCTGAGTGAGGTCTCAGTCTAGGTAAAGCATTTACAAAAATCTGCCACTTGCCTGCTTGCGTGAGGATTTCGTAGATGGAAACGGGGCTCGCGCGTTCAGCCTGTAAGACCCTAGCAAACAGTTTCCAGCGAAACAGTGATTTTACACTGTACTGACGTTGCATGCCGCAACTGCAAGGGACTCGGCTTCTCAGTCGGTCTCCCGGCGTTCTCCATACTAGTTTCTGGTATATAAACCTCAGGTAAATATC